TGTGTGTGTGTGTGTGTGTGTGTGTGTGTGTGTGTGTGTGTATGTGATTTTAGGTTATAGAATGTCCAGTAAGTATAAATTACTTCCATCCTTCTATACAGCCTATTTATATTGAATCTTTTGAAAATCTGGCTGGCTTTGTGAATTGCTTTGAGAAAAAGAATGTGGTAGAAGTGATATTCTGTGAATGAGTCCTTACAATATTCACCTTTAGCACCAGCAGCTCTGCTCTGGGTCTTTCACACTGTGGGACTGGAAGAAAAGTACAATAAAAGAAGTGTCTATATGATTGTCCCACATGAACCCAGGACATTGTTGACCCCAAGGTGATTGCAGCTTCAAGAGTAAGAACAGGTGAGACTAGTAGAAAAATGAACCAGCTAACACACGATTGCTTAACCAAATTATTTTTAAAAATTACTAAATTGCTTATTTAAGACACAAAACTCTTAGTGGATTTTTAAGTACATATAAACTGGGTTTCAAATGGCTCAGGCTTATTTATGTTCTAAATTTGATTCCTTTTTCTCACGATCTATTAATATTCTTCAGTATACTTACCTTCCCAAGAAGCCCCCATAGGTAAATGTGAAATACAGTTTATCAAACCAAAGAAGCCCAGCTAGTAGCCACACAAAATCATAAAGCACCATTGTGTTTCCACAGAAAAAATCTACAGCCTTGTCTGATCATTCAGAGAGCAGCAATCTTCTCATCTGAGATGCGCAGCCTGTGGCCCCATAGAGCAGAACATCCAGATGGTAACCCTACCAGAACATGAAGCAGACTCCAGTGACCCCAGCGAGGTGGTATTAAAGCCAGAATTCCATCCTGATGCCAATACCCTACATCACAGTATGGAGAGACCTCAGTCTGGGTCTCCTTCCAATTGTAGTGCTCAGCCTGAGGCCAAAACTGATCAGATGACTAAATCTGAAGCTTTGCCCAGAAGGAGAATTTAGCCAGTGGTACTACCTGAGTAGGAAGCACAGCCTAAGGCTCCTTTAAGTTTGGAGTGATTGCAGAGTCCACCCTGTGGCCTGCATGATTATGAAGTTCAACCAGCAGCAACACCTGGCCTTAAAGCACAGGCTGAAAATTGTATAGTCATTAGTGATCTTGGAACCCAGCCAGGGAGCTCTCCTAAATGTTGTTCTCAATTAATCATCTTGGAGCACGAACAACAGACTCCATGCAACTGGACATGATAACAGAGAGCACTGCATATCCATAGACATCACCAGCTAACATGTCTAGAACTCCAAATGCATTGACTGGTAAAAGTATATTCCTGCCAAAATGAAGCTATAAAGTCTGGAAGAGGTGATTGCTTCTT